ATTATTGCAGTCAGGTATGGCATCATTGTGGTTCGAGAAACACAAAGAAAATAGAAAAAGTAAACGAGCGTGCACTAAGATATGTTTACAAAGATAAAACATCAGCTTATCATGAACTGCTACAGCGAATAGGTTTAGGAACCACGTTGGAAAACCGTCGTGTCCAGGACATGTTAATAACTATAAACGCCTGTTTTCAAGGCACCGCTCCCACATGCATTAAGGATCTCGTTAAAATGAGAAACAACAAGTACGATTTAAGGGGCAATAATACGCTATCACTGCCAAAAGTAAATACTACAAAGTATGGATTAAACTCCTTCAGATATTTCGCCGCAAAACAATGGAACAATATTCCAAATGAATTGCGTTTAAGAGCTGGAGGTCTAGAATTTAACAAACAAGTGAGGAACATTCAATTTTAGTTATCTAATTTTGTAATTTAGATGCTAGATATTTTATATTTTTACATTTCTATGTACATATTTCTTTCTTTCTTTTTTAATACTGATTTGTGGAAAACCTGCAAAATAGCTTTAGCTAAGTGTTTCTCCCACGTTAAATAAAGATTATGTTATGTTATCATGGATTGTGTTGAATGACGGGCAAATTAGGAAGCGATATTACCAACATCACAACCACTAATTCCTTACTTCTCAATGATAGCAAAACAAAATTAAGTAATTATGGGAGAGTGTGCTTAATGAGCTTGAAGGAAATTGTTTGATTCCTAAGGACCTAAATCTAAGCCACAACTGAATATTCATTATGAGCCAACAGTTAACTCATAGTGAAGAATCAGTTGTGGGTTTGATGTAGGTCCTTAATCAAAGAATCATCATGCATCTCTTGCAATTCCCTTGACCGCACCTCTCTTTTTAATAGAAATAAGAGACTGAGTTGATTGGGGATGAGTCATATCAAAATGGCGCATCATTTAACCCATTGCCAAAAATAAACTGTATGCTCGGGACTCATTTGCATACAATGAAAGTTCACAACACACTACCCATTGACTTGGAGTGCTCCCTATAACCTCATGAATAGATTAATGGGTTAAAAACAATTTTGTTTTTTTTTTTTCAAACGGAGACCTTGTCAGACTGGTCAGTAAGATTTGTTGATTTAAACAAAGCAGAAACTGTACCAGAAAAAAAGCAAAAACAAATAAAAACAGTCCATACTGTAAGTAATCCTACCTTCTGTTTGGCCATGTTTTGGCTGAACAGCAAACACTCCATGACCCCCTCGAGAGTTAGGAAGCACAATCTCTTTGAGATGAGGTGGATGAAGGAACCATAGTCTACCTGAACAATCAGACAGGATACAACTGCTGGGAGAAGCACACCTGATATCTGCAGGAATGATTAGAATAATTTATGATAAATAAAGACAAGATCCAGTAACTGTTTTACTCCAAATGCCTGCGAGTATGCAATTTAGCCCAAAAGTAGTTACTGTAATGTCATCATCACCCTACCCAGTTACCTGTTGTTAACAATAGTTATTTCCAATTGTGAAGGCAGCTTTTGAACTTTAGAGTCTGTATGTTTGTGAAAATCGCAGCTTAACACCACACCAATTGTCTACATACATGTACCTTGCACTGTGTTTCCATTGCCAGATGGAGGAAAAGAAATATGGGTAGCAACAAACTTCAAATCGCCATCTTCAGAAGTCACATCTGAAACAGGAGATGCAAAGAGGCAGCTGAGTATAGAAAAAAGGAATAGATTGCAGGTCACTTAGCTACACTGTGCTACTGCTCAACCTGACTATTAATTAAGAACATCTTGTGTCTTAACAACATATATACCTGTCTGCTGGGTTGCATTGTAAACTTTGATGCCTCCTGATTCACCAACCACTAACGATGGGCAACCTGCAGTGAAATTAAGACAAAGTCAGTTTGGCAATCGTGATTTTAGCTTACATGCACATGAAAAGAGTTGTTAGAGATAGAAACAGCATGCTTGAACCTGAAAGTCATCAGTGTGTTCTAATCTGGTAATGAAGGAATACCTGCACCCCTGGGGTGGTACACTCCCATATTAAAATGTGGGGTGCTTGTCCCTAAAAGCCCTTTGTAAGTAAACAGAATCTTGTTTTGTGGGCTCAGACTGACTTATTTTAACCCCTAAGAGGTGACCAAAACTTGATTGCTTAACAATGTTCCCATCATCTTTTTGCTATCATTTGACAAATTCATCCCTAAAAGCTGGCACAAGTACCCCCTGTTACCCTCCCCCCTTCCCTCAAAAAATCCAATCTAACCCCTGGCTTGTTGGCAAGGTGTACAGATCAAAATTGATCACAATGTAAATGCAATATACATGATTGTATATAGCCTACAAGAAGGTGTAACATTATAATACCCAGCATTTGACAGTACAATCTGTTTGTAATCACACCTGAAATTACCTTTCTTTGGCATATTTTCATCCCGTATGAGTAAAATGTCTTGGATGGTCATGGTAGATTTTATTACAGATATTAATTCAAGACTGATTGTGACATTTTCCACCTGTGAATAAAAAGATAATAATAGATCTAGCCTGCACAATTCCTACAATAACTGTACAATACTGAGTGATAAAGAGAGCTTTAGAGTTTGTAGAAATGAATATTTTACTGTTGATAGCCAAGATTTTTTGAAACTTTAGGGTGCCTTTCAAGCCCTTTTTCTTTTTGAAAACACTTTTGTTTTTGCTTATCAGACAGCTTCTGTAACAAAA